AACATGATGCACACATATACAAGGAAGAAATCGATGGAATTCTATGAAATCTATCTTTTTTCCCAATATTCCTTAGGTTTTCTCAAACACTGAACCGAATAGAATAAGCCATTTTTAAAGTATATACTAGTATAAGGACATATATTTAGGCATGCATAAGCCAATGTACCGAATGGAATTATCAGGACTATTATATGTATGAACTTTATATATATGTATATGTATATATATATATATATATATATATATATATATATATATATATATATATGTGTGTGTGTGTGTGTGTGTGTAATTATTTTTAATTCAATACCATCAAAACATAGTCAGAAATAAGTTAAAGAATGCAAGGTCGTTGCTTTCAGTAGAAATCAGGAGCCAACTTTGCAATAAATCAATCAGAAAGCAAATTACGAGTTTTAAAACTATTCATAGCCGACTGAAGCGAAGCTTACGGCTTTTTAAGTTAACACGTTAGTGGGTCATTCATCTTGAGACTCTGCGGCCGCGATAAATCGAACTAATTAGCTTCATAAAATCTGAAGTAAGACACAAATTAAGACTCGAGGTCACCCCGCCATTTGCATTTTAGTAGTTTTGCCTTTTAAGTTGAGATATATCTATTACGAAACAAATGACTGAAATAAAGTAAAGAACAACATTTTAGAGAACTTGGGTTTTCGATGACGATAACACAAGATTTGCTAACATTGTTTCCTTCACAATACATTAACTTATGGATGGGTTGAAGGCGCACAGGTTTTTTCCTCAGTTAACAGTGTATACTCTAGAACTTCTATTTATCATGACAGTTACAAATGGCATCTTATGTACTGGATTGAACTACAACTCAATGGGTTGACTACAAATAATAAGTTATCCTACAAGAGTATGACTGAGGAACTTGAGGGAGAGGAAGAATATATCCAGGAATACGAGAGGGGATGAAGAAAGCAGCAAAGGAAGTTCGATCGAACAATCGATAAACCCAGCCAATAATATTGATATGAGTTTTGTAAAAAAGGAGTCTTTTATAAAATTTTGTAATTGTTACGCATGTCTTGACAAATGGTCTAATGTGTCCTGTGAGGGCTTTAAGAAAACTGCTCCTAGACTATGTGAGATTGCATTATCTTTTTAGGAATTATCAATACATTATATCAACAGCTCATTTAAACTTATTGGTTTAAATGTAGAATAAAATTGATATTATTATTATAGTTTGTTAGTAACAAATTGTTACAGAATAATTTGTTAAGGATAATTAAGGATAGGTATCTGGATTGGGCCAGATCTGAAACGTAAGGAACATTAAGATCTTTATGGATAATTTTATTAGTGACAAAGTAAGGAGCATTGAGGATTTTACGAAGGATTTTGGATTGTAAGGATTGGATGCGAGAGGAATTCGATGGTTTGATGAAGCACCAAAGCTCAATTCCATAAGTCAAAATAGGCCTTATTATAGTCAAGTATATGAGTCTTTTGTAATTAATGGGAAGTTTAGAGCGTTTGTCTAGTAAGTGCTGAAGTAATCGAAAACGTCGAGCGGTTTTTTATTGTTTCAGTCTGGTATGAGGATTCAAAGTTAGTCGTTTGTCCAGGTGGAGTTCTAGGTAGCGGATTTGCTCTACAGAGATAAGTGGAGTATTGTTAAAGGAAACTGTAGGACAGGAAGTCGTTGGTTTACGACGAAGGGTAAAGGTAATTTGATGAGATTTATTGGAGTTTATTTTAATTCTCCAGTTTTGACACCATTCTTACAGATTTATGATGTGTGATTGCAGAATTTGGAATGCACATTTTCATTAAACTAATAAAATTATAATCAAGTTTAGTGTAAGTATATTTCCTTATATACCAAATAAAAATTGTGTAAAATAATACTGATTTCTTTGACAGATATTGTTTTGGTTAGTTTGTAATTTCATTGGTTCTTTATATTAATTGGCGCAACACTCCGCGAGGAACCTTAGACCCCCCGGCAACAACGACCCCTAGTCGTCTCAATTTCATTGACTTTTGGAAAATTATCAAAAGAATATAATTAAAATTTTGTTTGATTATTTATTATTTTTAAGTATTTTTTTCAAATATCATTATATTAATATTAAAGCAAATTTACATTTTTTTTTACCCTCAATTCAAAATTTATTTAAGTTATTACAGATAGCGATGCCCAAATGCGAGACCGAGACGAGTCTTGGTCTTGCAAACTCAAGCTTGGTCATGGTCTTGGTCTTGCGCAAGAGTCTCGCAACTTATTAGCTTATTACTATAGAGATATTACTGTAATTTTTTAGATAGAAGAAACCTAACTGAGCCCGAATGAAAACTTAGAGGAGTTAAATGCAAAAGTATATTGGTTATACCAATTATTAATATATAGTAACTAAGATTGGCAAGTATTAGTAACTATTTTGTCTTAATATTTATTTTAAAAAATCGATTTTTTTTACCAGTCCTGGTCTTGGTCTTGCAACAGTTAAGTGGCCTTGGTCTTGGTCTTGCAAAGTGCAAGACCAAGACCGATTTTGGGCAACACTAATTACAGCATATCGATATACTTACCCTTGAGCTTTGTAAAACGTGGTTAAAAATATTTTTCTCTGAGAGGAAATACCGAGAACTCATTATCCCTTAATTATATTTTAATCGACATTCGGTTTTATGTTACTGATATTAGTATTATTTTGTTATTTTAAATAAAATAAAATAATTCTTTGTAAATAATATTATAATAAAAGAGATCTGAAATATTCGAAATTCTTTTTCAAAGCAATGTATTGTAATATACGAAAATTATTAAGTTTTGACATTGTATTATTTTATTTTATTTTCCTCCCTACCCAGCCTTTAAGGCAATATGGTACGTTGTAGCAGTGATCCCTGCATAACAAATCACTGCTGTAAGTTAATCTTTTTACATTCTGATAAATTGCTGTGCATACAATAACTTGCTGTATTCATTTTGCTTTCTGATTTCACCTTCCTCCATCTTATTCTCCTATCCTGATCGGCGTCCTTCCAGGTACTGCTTCTTCACAGCTACCCAAGAAGTGGGTTGGGCTCATACCTTCTTTCCACCCGCATACAAAGCTTTTAAAGTGCGAGTAGTTTCGTTGTGATTTCAGTTGAAGAAAGTAAAATGTAGAGAGCCCTGTCTCCCTCATCAATTTAACCCTCAGTGCTTCATAGTTAGTGCAGGCTACAACGATGTGCTCAGCGATTTGTGGTACTCCACAAGTGGGGCATAAGGGATCGATGTTTTTTAACAAGCTTAAAAAGTTTCGATCTGAAACCACCATGTCCCGTGAGGATCTGTGAGACCCAGTAGTCCGGGAATTTTTTCTAGACGTTCTATTATTGGCAGCTTTAATCAGTAAATTTTACCTTTATAATATTTTGCTTCCTTGCCTCCAGAAGCCCCTATCTCTCCTCCCCCACCCCAAGAACAATGGCGTAAGAACCAAATCTCTCCTCTCCCGAGATATTTTATTGCTCACTTTTCTTAAAACCAGAGTAAGAGAAAGTAGAATTAGAAAAATCATAGATCATATATAATTACACTTCACTTGCTGTTGTATGTTGCAGGTTTTCTCCTTGTCCTTCATTCTGAAACTTTTCATTACGAAAATTCATAACCCCGTTGAAATTCACCACCTCAAATTTAAAAAAAAAAACCTTTAAATATGCTCCCTCCCAAAAAAAAAAATTTAATGGCACGCCGACTAACACTTTACGTTCCCTGCCTGCATCAAATCCAATGGAGGGATTTTCATGAAATTTCATCCGTTACTTTTGCTAACGCAGATGTGAATAAATTCGGTAGGCTTCTTTTTTCGGGGAGCATTCGCAAACTAGACCTGGGCAGAATTTATTTGAAAAATATTCCCGGAATAAATCGTTAAATAAACCTCCATAGTTATTTCCGAAATAATTTATTTCATGAAATAACCTGAACATTATTTCCGAAATGATTATTCCTGGAATAAATTATTTCAGGGATAATGATATAGTTATTTCTGAAATGATTATTTCAGAAATAATGTTGTGAAAGAATCATTCTGATCGACTTTTCAGATATAATCAATATCCGGGTCGACTGTTAAGTTTTCGGGGGCGCTTATTATAAAAATAATGTCAAATTTGAAATTGGAGGGTGGGGAGGGGGAGATGCAATCTAAAATTCGACAGTATTTTCATAATATGCTACCCCGAAAACATAATAGTCGACTCTGATATCGATTAAATCCGAAAGGTTACTAAAAGTCGATGGGGGGAGGAGAGGGAGGGAGGCGCGCAATCTTAAATTCGACAGTATTTTCATAAAAAGATACCCCGAAAACATGGTGCATATTGGTAAATTTTTTATGTTATTTCAGAACAATGTTATTTCTGAAATATTTATTTCTTGATTTTTGCAATAATTTATTTCAAAAATAACTCATTTCGAAATAATTTACTTTATTCCAAAGAACGTTAAAATATTGAAATAATTATTTCAGAAAATAAATTTAGCAGTTATTCCATCGAGATTATTTCATTGACACTTTGAAATATTATTTCAGAAATAACCATTATTCCGGAAATAATTCATTCGTGGAATAACCATATGATTTATTTCAGAAATAAATTATTTCAAGAGTGCCCAGGTCTATCGCAAACATAGGAATAGCGGGTTCTGAATAATTTCGAAACCGGAGTAGCGAAAGTGAACTAGTAAACTTTTTTGAACTTAAAATCTATTCTTTGCTACAACTATTGTTTGGTTGTCAAATTTCTTATAATATTTTTCTTCGTTTAGTTTTTAGACATTTATATATGAAAAAGGTGTACATGGAGTGTATAAACCAGCAGTTAAAGGTGTATTTTTTTTTCTTTTTCGTCAGAGCAAAAAGTTATGATACGCGGTATGTCGGTATGTCGAGACCCTTTTGACAAGATACGTGATACAACACTTTCATTGTGACATCTACAGCTTCTTCAAGAGAACACCCTTACCGTTTGACGACCGGAACAAAGCGGTGGATAAACCCATGGATTGTGGCACCATTTCCTAAACTCCTGAGCCAATGCCTTCCTTATTTCATTTCATTTCAAGTAATACGTATAATATCAGGAGATCATAGGAAATGTAGTGATGTTCCAATGTCATTTAGCTGTTATATTAGCCCGAAAATATTATATATTTCTAAGTTGTTTGGTTTCAACCTGAAAGTTGAAGTTGAAAACAACCTGAGAATTTTCCATCTTTCGAACCAGTTTTGAAGATTATAAGAGATGGTTTTGAAGAGCAATTGATGCGATAGTAGGATTTTTGTAGGAAGAAAGAATTGCAGTGTCGTCAGTGAAACAATATAATTTGAAATGGTTACTAGCTATAAGTCCATCCAATAATTGAAACGGTCAGTAGCTAGCAAGTAGTCGACATGTTACCAGTTGGCAACACGATCACATATAGTAGCTTCATTGCGATGGCAATACATCGCAATGAAGCGAAATTTGAATTGAATGAAATGAATGAATGAATGAATGAATGAAATGAAATTTGATTCATTAGCAATATTTTCCTTACTTAGTAGAGGAAGGAGAGTAATAAAACAAAACAAACAAATACTTTATTATTATTATTAGATTTATGGATTTAACCTTCAACGGAGAAACTTAACACGGGAATGCAGTCTTTGAAGCTTGAAGGACTTATTTTTTCCTTATTTATAATTAATAAAAAAATAAATAAATAAATCGAACGGTGGGAAACTAAAAAGAATTCTCAATTAGCTTGATGATGACATTGCAGTAATTGCGTGGTAGATCATGTCAAGAATTCGAAAACAAGTAGTTCGAGTCTCCTCGCAATTAAAAAGAAAAAAAAAACTGCAAACCAAGATTTATTATATAATTTTTTTTTTAATCTTCAACAGAAATATGAAAGAACAATGGTTTGCTTGCGAAGAAGAAAAACTAATTTAAAGCAAACCTCTTCCTCCTTGGGAAACACATTTCGTAAGACAGACTTCCGGTTGCGGTGAACCCGTTTCCTTTAAGGAGGACTGCGGCGACGAACCAAATACGACCTCTTCTCTCCCAACTTCTCTAGAAAAGAATTGTCTGATGTAATCTATTGAACTTTTGATTTCGTTCTAAAAGAGGATTTGTCGAAAACGCCAGTCACAGAAACGATTTGTCGTTGTGTTGAGTGACCATCAGGTTAATAGATAGGATCGTATTCGAGGCCATAATTTTACTTCTCTTATTACTACGCACTTTTAAATAAGTGAAGTGTGAATTTTCCAGATGTATTTTTTGTATACAGTTGTAAATATCATATAAATAAATAAATAAAAATAAGTGAAGATAGCATCACCACATTATTTAATAATTTAGCTGTTTTGAATAATTTCTATGAAAAAGTCTCATAGAAGTATGGAGATAACAAGCTTTTGAGCTGAAACTCTCCCCTCCTTCCACCAATATATATATATATATATATATATATATCCGTATCCGTACATATATTATTACAGTAAGGATCGAAATCGGGTTTGTACCAAATATAAACTCCTGTCATGCTCAAATACCATGAATGGGGTACCGTTGGATTCAGAATTTCACGGGGGGTTTTCGAATCGTATTCTCCGCTTTTGTTTTTCTTTCTAAAATAAATAAAGTCGATACAAACATTTTGCTAGGCTTCAATACTGGAACGGTGGTAGGTCTATACGGGACAAATTGGACCTTGAAGATTTTGATGCGTACAGCAAGACCCGGATAGTTCCTCCGGAACTATCGGATCCTGCATTTTTAAGCCCAAAAACGTACCATTTTCGAGATAACGCAAGGCATGGGGTTCGCATCCACCCAACCTGACGTTAATTGTAGTACTGTCACTGGATACATGACTCATTTCGTCGACTTGAGGTCTCTATGATCGAGACAGGAGGAGTTTATATTATTTATCGATGATGTTTTTGATCGGCAAGCCATATCATCGTTAATTTTTCACCAAATCTCAAGATTGAGCCACCAATTTCGAAGGCTTCCTTCTCCTTCAGGCGCGAAAAATATTCCAATCACCCCTAAAATTCAGGCCAACAAGTTATGAAAAAAAATAAACTTTATTTGCGAATAACTAAAAAATTACACCTTTTCTCTGTGTTATTCCTATGATTATATAAAGCATTACTTAATTGTCTACAAAAGGAAAAAAAAAATCATTGAAATCAGACAATTTTTCGCAAAGATACAGCTTATTGAAATTTGTAAATATGTTGGTTCCAAACAAAAATGAAGATTTAAATTAATTTTGTTTCCTTTGTGGATTATATTTATGGATAAAGTCACGATTGATTTCTTTATCTTTTGATACGTTGCATTATTTTCTTTTCTTATTAATTTGGCATTTGATAACAATATGCTGTGCGAATTTTTCGCATGAGCCTACTAGTATATATATATATATATATATATATATATATATATTCTTATTCTTATATATATATATATATATATATATATATATATATATATATATATATATATATATATAAGAATAAGAATAAAACATATTCTCTACATTGATATAGATTTGTTTTAAACAATTTCAATATTTTATTTTTTTAAAACTACAATGCGTATTTGTAATTGTAAAGACGTGCAAGAAAAAAATTATCTTTAATATAAGGTGAAGAGATTTTAATATTGGTAAAGCGGTACACCATTGAGGGGAGAGAGGGATTCTTGATTAAAAATTTGTTGTTACAATAATTAATTTTACACAATGATAATCTGATACAAATATATTTATGGAACATAGCATTCATCTGAAATAAGGTTGATAATTTAGTTCTAAAGAGGTATTTTTGAGATCGAATAATTTGATGTCTAATTTATGAGACATTAGAGTTGAATAGAGAGCGTGGGATCCTTCTCGCTCAGTAAACTTAACGTGCCCGAATTTGTTACTTAGAACGTTCTAACTCAAACTAAGACCATGAATTGTCAACGAAACGAACGAAGTAGGATACAAATAAATTATCATTTCGCTGAATCCGATTTATTTATGAATGGAAGGCATAATTGGTCAAATGGAAATTTTTCGAAGTTTGTAATATCGACTATCGTGATATTTCAAGTAATATAGTTTTAGGCCTTCGATATCCTATCCCTATTATATAGATAGAAACGGAAATTCGTTTCTTGATTTGGAAAACGTAAAAGTCGAGAAAATTTTCAATTCTGAGCATTTTTTTTTTTTTTTACTTTCACGAAGCTTACCACTCTTCGGTATTAATGAATTCATAATAGTATAAAATAACACTCGAATTAGATTAATAATTATGCGTAATATATTCCTATTAATGTTACTTAAATGCTAGACCAAGACGAGTCTTGTTCTGGCGCACTCAGTCTTGGTCTTGCCAGTTACTTATTAGCATATTATTATAGAGATATTACTGTGATTTTTTAGATAGGGAAAACCTAAGTAAGCCCAAATGAAAAATTAAACTCTCTGTTTTAACTCTTTATTCTATTATACGTTGTCAGTAAATCTTGATAGACTTTACAATATCACAATTTTCTATCGAACTATTTGCAATATCTTAATTTTACTATATTTTTTTTTCATTTCTTATATAACTTCATATTCCTTTTTTCTGTTTTATATTTTATTCTAAGATTACCATTTTAATACTTATGTCACATTTTTTTTATTATGTTTACTTCATCATTCCACACTTTGTAACGGTTATTATTATTTATCTCTTAGTTCTTACTATTGTCATTATTCTACCCACTTCATTTTACCTTAATTTTTTTTTTACCTACGTTATTCATGCTTCTCATACCTTCTTATCTGGTTCTTTTCTTAGCCCTGATGAAGGACTGAACTTCAGGTCGAAACGTCGGCAAATGTTAAAATAAATATTATTATTTATTTTGCCTGTTTATTTCTGACTGATCACCCTAACCATCCTCCTCTTAATTATTCACGACAGTCAACCACTAATCCACAATTATTTTAAATATAATATATTAAAGGACAACTTAATATAGAGAGTTGCCTTATAGAGTTAGCGATTTTACAGTTTAATACACCCCTATTAAAAGAGTACCTCAAGAACCAGGAATGTTCAAGACCGAACGGAATAGCAGTGCCCGAGGGAGTACGGTGCCCCAGAACCGGTAAGGTAAGGATACGTTGGAGGGCCGCTAGAAGAAAGGCCTTCGTGAGCAGACTCCTGATGAGCATGTGAAGCCAGGATTCTTGCATCACATCGTTCTCTGCTAGCAAGGCCTGCAGGATCTGAGGGGGACCACTTCGATGGCTTTAACTTATAGATTAAACTTATATCCCAGAGATATTCATAACTAGTGGTGCCCAAAACAGGTCTTGGTCTTGCGAAGTGCAAGACCAAGACCAAGGCAGCCTAACTGTTGTAAAACCAAGACCAGGACTGGTAAAAAAAATCGAATTTTAAATAAAAATTAAGACAAAATAGTTACTAATACTTGACAATCTTAGTTACTATATGCTAATAATTGGTATAATCAATATACTTTCGGACTTAGTTAAGTTTCTTCTATCTAAAATCTCAGTAATATCTCTATAGTAATAAGCTAATAGGTAACTGCGAGACTCTTGCGCAAGACCAAGACCATGACGAAGACTCGTCTCGGTCTCGCATTTGGGCAACACTACTTGCAATCCTAAGTTCTTTGGACAATAGTCAACACCCCATTCTATGTAACAAACAAAACCCTGGATTACGACCTTGTTCTGGATGTTATTCCAGAAAAAATCAAAATCCTATATTTTTCACAGTCTACAATTCAAATATTACATTCAATCTCGTACCTCCGACCTCTATCCACCTCCCCACTGAACTCCAGCGTTTGACAAATCCTTTATAATTCAAGCCGTCTCCATCTGGAATACCATCCCTCCCGATGTCCGACATGTACAATCAGTTTCCTCGTTTAAATCTCTCCTTTTTAACCACCTACTCCTTTTCCAACCCGATTGATCATGAAATGTAGATATGAGAACTTTTAAAGTTCTCCCAGAAATGATTTTCTTTACTTATGCTTCTTTATTTTCCCACATTTGTATTATACATATCAGAATGTTTTTAGTGTAATAGTTATATTTTTTGTTTTATTCTTTTTTCAAAATCTTAATATTAATAATAATTTTAAATAATTAATTTTATGTATGGCCACACAGGCTTGTTCTGTATCTGTAATTTGTCTTAAAGGGACAACAGTTCCAGGATAATAAAAAAATATTTTCATTTCATTTCATTTCAAAATCCTCTTGCACAATCCCTATCTAACACTACTCATCCCTACAATCCTCCTCTACAGTTGAACCGGTAGTGGCTCCATGACCTTTTGTAATATGTAGATATAGGAGTTAGTGCAAAAGGCAGATGCTCCATTGAAGACACAAGTCTCTCCTACGCGGTTGATAGAGTAGCGCAAGGATCTCTTTATTATTTATTTATATTTTTTGTAAAGATGGCGTGAATGAACTGTTTCCTACCAATAACCATTTTCCTTATTGTAACTGTTATCTTACTCAATGGAATAGTTTAATTTACACTGTGAAGTAAATATTATTTGACAACCAAATCAAAACGAAATAAATATAGAAAATCCTTGTTAATTAATATATTATTTTTCCTAAATAGAGGAAATCAGCTGATTTGATTTAATAAAACAGGTGTTTTGGCGGAGACATGGCGTGGGTTGGTGAACCCGACCGACTGGGACTAAATATAGGACGGGTCGCAGCGATGGTCTCCCTGGTGGCTAACAGCTCTCTCATTAATACTTCAATTCTTCACATGATATAATCAACTATATATTGTATATTTAATGTACTAATATCGATACATTTAAAAACTAATATTTAAAACATAAGCTACCGTTACTTATTATCATAGGCGTAGATTTCGAGGAGAGTAGCCCCCCCCCCCCAATAAAAATATTGAAGTGGCGAGAATATCACCCCCTTAATAATTTGAGATAAAATAAATTAAAATCAATAATAAGTAAGCTATATGAATGAATAAAATGTGTATAATAAAATCGATTTAGAAAAATCGACTAGATAGCTATGCAAGGCCCTACTAGTTAACTATTTTATCGATACTAAAAATGTTACCTTTATTTAAATTGACACTTATATTCAAAGATAATAAAATATATCAAAATATCCTAGGATATTATGATTCAATGAGCCCTCAATTTTCATGTGACAAACTAGTCAATGAAAAACGTATTTTTATTTCAGATTGAACACATTAAGAAATCAAAGATATTTTTAACTTTTTTACATAATTCATTTTTAGCTGAAAAGGTTCTAAATATGTACCAATGTTATAAAGGCAGTTTTTAATCTTAACAAATACGTTATACATTGAATTGAGTTTTTTTTTTTTTTAGATACATTCAAGGATATATAATAAGTAAAACAAAATAAATAAAAATCCTTACAAATATATTAACAAAAATTAATTTTAACTATTCGATATTATAATAGTTTGTTTCACAATAATTATGTCGAATTTTTACACATGATAAAAACTCGCGACGTTATTATTTTTTTGGTCCATCGCCTCATCTCCCAAATCAAAGTCGAAAGTCTGCGCTATTTTAGATAAAAATTGTTGAAATAATTATGACATAAATAAGATTTATATACTATTTTCGATTTCCACTAATTAATTAACCCACGAAAGGTTATTTACAGCTGACTGGATCGTAACGAACAGCTGATAATGCACTTCCTACACTCACTTCATAAAGATCAAATTAATTTGATTGGCTAATGCCTTCAACCAGCTCCCTATAAATATCGATATCTAACAATCGAACCTTTTCAACGAAATCGATAAGAAAAATCTGAAAATGAAATCTCTCTATTATTTAAAAAAGTTTTTAGTGATTTTCATTTTTATTTTATTTTAGTATTAAGAGAGCATGATATTACAGTAGCTCTCCTATTAGCTTTATAATTATCACTAATTAAACAGCTGTTTATTTAATTACATATGTGTTAACCTCCTGTAAGCTCTTACTTAATAGAAAATAGAGTTTTTAGTCTAAAAATGTATACGGTAAATGGTATTATGTATTCATTTGGAGGTGGTAGTTTGATTTTACTTAGGTGACAGCAATTATTTTTTGATCTAGACATTTCCCCTTGAATATAATATATAAATAATTATATTATACCGTGATATAATTATAATTATTATGAAATAGAAAAGGAAGCATAATATAACGTATAATGAAAATATTAGAATAAAAGGCTCAACTGGACTTATATGGAGCTGAACAAGTTAAAAATATATATTATGGTTACAAATTAGTAATAAGAATAATTATTTCATTTGTTTTATAAATTATGCCATTATTCACCAACATTTTCTTTATTAGCTATTTTATTATAACGTCACTAGGACCTATTTTCAAGTCTTATTGAGTCCTCCATTAAATTTACATTATTCAGTGTCGTATTAATTTTTCAGAGAAAATTAAGTTGTCATGATATTTTAGAGTTTCCCTTACGTCATTTCTGGAGAAGTGGTCAGTCCCTCCAGAAATGACGTAGGGGGAACTGAAATATCAGGACAACTTAATTTTCTCTGAAAAATTAATACGACACTGAATAATGTAAATTTAATGGAGGACTCAATAAGACTTGAAAATGGTCGAAACGTTGTAATAAAATAGCTAATAAATAAAATGTTGGTGAATAATGGCCTAATTTATATAACAAATAAAACCTCAAGACACTAATTCTTGGAATAATGAAAAGAAGAAAGAATAATTATAATATAAATTGGCGATAAGGCGCAATATATGATATAGATTTTTTAAAAAATTATAAATTTGTCCAAACAGTGGTTTCATTCAGTTTATTATAAGTTAATATAAGGTAAAACATTTGATTAAATTTCCATCTCACTAAATTTTGTAAACTAGGAAGTATGTTTTAATGTCCAGACCAAGACCAGAAAATTATGCACACAATAAATTTTTTTTTAGAGTAAGGAGATGGTCCGGGGTGGCAGTCATTAATAGATTAAAATATTGGAAAATTATTTTATTTCAAGCCAACGTTTCGACCCGACTTTGCAGGTCTTCTTCAGGGAAGTGTGTTCAGGAGTATCTGTTAAGAAAAAAAAAGCTCCTTGCTGAACACACTTCCCTGAAGAAGACCTGCAAAGTTGGGTAGAAACGTTGGCTTGAAATAAAATAGTTTTGCCACTTTTTTAGTTACTCATTTTGTCCTCAACCCTTTACTAACTTCCCAACTATAAATTATTTGTTGTTTACGAGAAACTTTTTTCAATGAACCGGAATGCTACAGTATTCAGCTATCTCCCTACTGAATGTTTTTTCCCTTCTAAAGGTTAGGATCCTAGAATAGAATCCAATTAAAAATATTTTTGCTGAAAATGTTTATAGATAATCTTTTCTTAAATAATTAATTATTTATCGTTCATCTACAAATAACGTTACTAATTAGTCTAAAATAATCTCTGTTTCCTTTTACCAAGGAGATTTCCTCGAAGCTGCTTCTATTATCTTCACTTCTTCCTTTTTCTTCACCTTCAGACCTGATTTCGTGGTGTCTGATTCCCGAACCGCGAAGAAACCCTCTATTTCCTTACCTGCTTTAACTTCTAAACTAAATACAGTGGATAATTCTGGTGGTTGGATATTTAAATGTTGTACCTTATTGAAACCATCGATACTATATTACAAGTTGTATTTATAGTCCGTGGTACAGACCCCTTTTTATCAAATTATTAGCATCCGGCTGAAACTTCGTGAATAGCTTCATCTCATCGTAACCTACAACTATTTTATTTTACGAAAATGCTCGGAATTGGGACGTTATCAATCTGGAGGTCGGCAAACATTGTCTATTTAATTAGGTACTAAAAATCAGTAAATACCCATTTGCTTTCCAATTCAATCGTAAGATAACTTGAGCAAAGAGTCGAGAAAAAAGGTGGCCTTCAAAAATTTTGAGCCGTTTGGAGTGACCTACATTCCCAAATTATCAAAATAACGAGGTTATGTAGGCCAAACGGCTGACTATTTTTGAAGGCCACTTTTTTTATCGACTTTGTGCTGAAGTTATAAATAGCTTCATCTCATTGTAACCTTCAACTATTTTATTTACGAAAATTCTTGGAATTGTGGCGTTTTGAATCTGGATATGGTCAAACT